TAATTTGAAATAATTAATAATAGTATTATATAGAAATGGAGGTGTAATGTCACATTGGGTGTCTTAAATAAGTAGCATAAATGTAGTTTAGAAATCTTTAATGTAATTACTTTTATTACTTAATAAAGTTTCTACTTTGGCATAACAAAAAAAATATATATATAGAATTATTAAGGACATAGGTTAATTAATAAGTTTGATATTATAAACCAAGTCCTTAGATGTGGAAATATTTTTGTCACCTCTCTGTATTTTAAATACTACTAATCTCAATATGTCTGTTAATCTTGTCTCTGATTTACATATTGAAATTCTTACTCTTGACAGTTTCAAATTGCATAACTCTCTATATACATCTTCTTTCATTTTTACCCTATCTGATTTAGTTTCTATTGATCTTATTTCTACTATTCACAATGCTTCTATTTCTTATCGTACTGCTATTACTCTTTTTATCAAACTTCTTCTTTACTTAAACCAACAAATATATAAACAAATATGGATTTCATATTGTATTTCATGCTCTGCACAGTCTCAAACTACACTCTCTACTAACACAACTCATAGTCATTCTTCTAGTTTAACTTATCTTCCATTTCAATACCACAAATTATTACAAAATTGATCTTTGGACTATTCAATAGATTAAATACCATACTCTTCTCTCTTATATTATTACTCAAAACCAAATCTAGGTGAGCCTTGGCTACTCTTGTAGGTTTAGGTTACAGATTATATGTCTAAGTCTTTATTCTTCATATGTAATTTAAAAGCAAGCTTTTTTTTGTAAAAACTTCAATTGAATTTCAATAAAGTTAAAAACATGGCCTCACTATTAATATTTAAAAAAAAAAAAAAAAAAAAAAAAAAGAACAAGAGAAATGAAAAGAAGAAAAAGATCTAGAAGAAGAAGAGAAAGAAGCTAGAATAGAACTAGTCAAAACTTATAGAAAGAATATACAGAAATAGAAAGCAATTTTCAGATTAGGGATGTTAATAGAATATAATACTCTAAAGTAACTGTAGAGTATAACTCACACTATATCAGTGTAGTTTAGATATGACACTACCTCAGATTAATAAGATATCATTAATAGAGAATAAGTACTTTGGAACAGTACTACTTGTATAAATAAATTGTATTCTGAAGTATTATTATATATATATTATATTTATTAAATAAACTTTTAAACTCAAATTATTTATATTGATTTATATTTAATTACAATATATATATTAACAGTATTAATTTTCAGTTAAATTTACTGTATGAATACTGCACAATTTGAAAACTTCTCTGTGCAGTAAATAAAGAAAAACTATGAGCAACTGTTTACAAGGTGTGCACTACTTATGAAATATTAATTTTGTCTGTATGCAAAATTTGTTTCTGTGTTCTGCGCACAGTCCACACAATTAAAAATAATCACTGCAATATATATATTGATATATATTTAATTAATAAACCCCTTTTGCTTAAAGTATTGACTCATCCAAACTATGCTTACTAATTCTTTTAATGCAAGCCACTTAAAATTGCGATACATATATAATATTGTTTTTCAATTTTTTTACTATTTATATCAACATTATTACTTACTACTTTCCAAATTAAATAATAAAGTTATGCCAAACAAGTTTTTTTATCATCACTTAATGTTCAGTTACCTGATATCAATACAAAGTTTGGTATATACATATGTATATATGTACTGTATATACACACATAAATAATATACACTTCAGTAAGCTTTCTTAATATTATTCAAGTATGCATATAATTTAAAAGTTACATGTATTTATATAAATATACTAGAATTGTAAGAATTTACTTATTCTTTAATGCAGATAACCTGTCCTAATATTTGTTTTAAATGTAGTTATTCTTTTCTGCAACACTAAACCAAAATCTTTTATCATATGTATTCTCTATCTTAGTTAATTTATTCAATTTCTAACTATATATTAAAATTTTGCCTGATTCATTGAATAAGGTGCTTGTAATAGATATTTTATTTTATTTTTTTTAACAAATTTATGAATGTAACAAATGAAAAATTATGTCAACAGGGGTGTAGTGACCTAGTGAAGTAGTCAGGTTGTCAACCCCTAAGTGGCAGGTCTAAAGTTCAAATTCCATAGACGACAAATTTTAGAAAATAAGATCTGTGTTATGATAACTGTCTCTGTCGATCAGTTGGATTTGTGTATCTGTAACCTTTGTTGCACCATCTCGAATAGAAGCTTGGGGCATCTATGCAAAGTATAACATTATACCTATATAAAGGAATGTTAATAACGATGTTGCATAAGACTTTAGTGCAAACCTATAATAAGACCACTAGGCATAGAAAGCAAAAGAACTGAAGAGTCAGAAACCCACTTGGAAATCCCGAGTAAAGAGATAGCATAAACTTTCGATGGTACTACTGAACCATCAGAATTCCCCAAAAAAGAATTACAAGGATTTCAGATGAATCGGATGACAACATGCATAGAGAAGCACATACCAATCAGGCTACCGAGTTTGCTGAATGGGGCATCTGAATTGGTAGTTTGGGAAGTCTTGTGAATCTTGTAAGTTCAGAAGTAGAGGTGTGGAAGTTAGAAAAGGAAGGTATTGGAGTTCCTGTGAACTTTACAAGGGTATAGTGGTTTAATGGTTAGCCCTGACTGCAAGTGATAGTCTAGGCCAGAGTGGTACTGAGTCAGCTGTAAGTATGGGATACAGAAGGCTTCAGTAGACTTAGTATAAAGTTAAATATAACTTAGTGACCATGGTATATTTGTAGCAATAGCTGCAGTTGATAGGGTATGGGTAGATATGAGAACTAAAGTGTTTAAATAGAGAACCCACAGGTGGGTTCTAGGTATGACAACTAGTGTAGAACCTTTGGGTGGACTACTTAAAATAGACAATGACTAAAAGTTATACGAGTGGCTAGTTGTACACTCTTTTCATGATTGCCTCGTAGCTGTTGTACATAATAGTTATATGCTGACTAATTATCAATAAACTCCTGAATCACAATTACTTGCCTTAACATTAAAAAAAAAAAATCATGTTAACTCTTTTTTTATAATTTAACAAATATGCAAATTGATGATTACAGAATGAAAGCTCTACTAGCAGTTATATATATATTAAAAAAAAAAAAAACTATTTAAAAAATGTCAACTTAATGATTATAGCAATATGATGGTAAAAAAAAAAAAAAACTTAATTTTGATATGTTAACAGTTATAAATAAGTTATAAAGTATGAACTTTAATAATTATAAAATAAGAACATTGTTCAAAAAAAATTTAACATATGTTAATAGTTATAAAATAAGAACTTTGACTAGTGATAATACAATTTAAAAAAAGAAAGAATAATATCTTAAATACAGTCAGTATCACAAACACTCAATTATTTAAGAAATTAATTGTTTGAATATTATGTTTCAAGAAACTCATAATAACTTAAATATTACTAGCAATAGTAAAGATATGACTTTTGCTATAGAAGCTAGTAAGAATATTAACTTCGAGGATGATGCCATTGTTGTTAATAGTGAAGATATTGATTTTAATTTTGTCGATAATGAGAATATTGGCTTTGCTTTTGATGACAGTAGTGATATAAGTTTCATTTCTGATAATAATGAAAATACAAATATTAATAGTGATGATGTAAACTCTAATATTGATTCAAGTAATAAGAACACATCTTTTAAATATAGTAAGAGTGTTTTAAAATGAAATAGATATGGACAACACACATCTATTGTATGGGAATTTTTTTCCAAAGAAAAAAATAAAGATCAAGAAGTAGTTGCAATTGTTTGTAATATTTGCAAGAAGAAATGGAAACTGGGTAACACAACTAGAACTTTTGCAATTCACTTTAATAATAAACATCATAGAAATATTTTTCTAAAACAGCAAACACTCTTACATTTTGTGACTACACCATATACACCAAAAGAAGCAAAATGAACAAATGAAATTACTAAAACAATAGTTGATTTTATCATATGTTATCAATTACCTTTTACTGTTATAGATAATATGTACTTTAGAGAAATGGTCAATATTTTTAATCCACACTATCATGTTTTATGCTGACAAATATTAAGTAATAAAATAATGAGTCAGTTCAAAAATACACATAAAAAAATAATAAATTTACTTGAAAATGTTAGCTCAATAGTTTCAATTACATGTAATATATGGATAGCCATATCTAACCAAGCATATTTAGGAATAACTGTACATTATATCAATGACAATTGGGAATTAAGAAGCTTTCTTCTTGATTTAATACACTATTCAGACCATCATTATGGTATACATACCAAAGACCTGCTTCTAACATTATTCAATAAATTTAAAATTACACAAAATATTATAGGACTTACTATTGAAAACAATGCAAGTATGATTATCGTGAGGCATGAGTTACAAGTGGCCCTTTCATCTTTAGAAAATAATAATTTTGTGCATTGTTGATGCATAGCACATATCTTAAATATTGCAGTAAGACATGGTATGCAGCTTGAAACCATAATTATTGAGAAAGTTAGAAATTTCATAAAAAAAATTTGCTATTCTTAATTATTATATGACAGTTTACGAAATATTTGTGCTATACAAGAAGTTGAATACTTAAAACCGGAGCTTAACATTGAGATGTATTAGAACAGTAGGTTCCTAATGTTGCAAAAGTTCAATAGAATGAGTAAAACATTAGAATTTTTGGTTGCAAAGAGCAAAAAACAGCTCAAAGATTCATGGTTTGATGAAAGTAAGTGGGTGCAAATAGATGCAATGCTAAAGCTTCTTGAACCAATATACTAGACAATATTATTGTTGTCCTCTAGTTCTTATCTAGCTATCAGTAACATCTGTTTTGTATTTATTGGGCTACAGTACCATCTTGATCAATATCTCTCTAACTATAAAGAAGATAAATACTATATGTTACAATTAATAATGCACAAACTAGAAGAGTATTGGAACATTATTGAAAAATCAACTATATTACCTATTTTACTTAATCTATATTCAAAGTTGAAAACTTTTGTTATATGTGAAACCTGATCGGCTGCTGTAAGTTTGTTATAAGAACATATGTCAAGCTATAAAGAAACACCTTTAAATATATTTAGTACTATGCAAGAAAAAGAAAATCAAAAAAAAAAGAATCTGCAGTTATTTTTTGAATCATTTTTACAACAAAAAAATGATATACTAATAGAAAATGAGCTAGAATAATACTTAGCTCTTCCACTTGTATTAGAAGAAAACCTACTTAAATGATAATATAAGTTTGAAAAAGAATTCTCAACACTTAGTAAAATGGCAAGAAATTACCTGTTGATACAAGAAACTAGTGTTCTAAGTGAACATGCATTTTCAATTGCAGCTTATACTGTTACAAAAATTAGAAGTAATCTTGTATCAGATTTAGTATGTGCTGTGATATGTTTAAAAAGTTGAATAACAAAAGTTTGTGATGATTATCATAATTATGATAAATTGTAGCAAATCTTTATACTATATAATATTTCATAATAGTAACAGGCTTGGATTTTTAAATTAGTGGTTTTTGTTGTTTTGTATAAGTTGAATATATAATTAAATGAATTCTATTTAATAGATTAGAAAATATTCAAAAGATTGATAAAAGATGAATTTTTTGCAATTTTTAGATGGCATACTATTTTTTAAACAGATATTATTGATTATATATATTTACACATATTACCAAGCATAATTTATATAATTATATATAAATCATTAAATTTGATGTATTAGAACATTGTGAAATAATCTAATAAATTGTATATAAAACTTTGCACTAGAATAATATTCTTTTTCAATATTAATTATTTTCTTATTTCGTAACTAATTGGCTTATTTATTTAATATAACAATAATTAATGTTAATATCAATTAAATTGCCTATAATAATAGTACAATTACAAATTCTGCCAATTGAACATTCTGCACATATTGATACATACTACGTATGATAAGCTAGTTATTTAAAAAAATAATAATAATAATTTAATATATATATATATTTTTTTGGTATTAAGGTGACCTCTTTGGTCTAAGCTTTTTATTAATACTTATATTGAGTACATGTTTTATATAGACATATCTATAATGAACTATTAAATAAGTGTACAACTGGCTATACATGTAACTTTTCTATATTACCTATTTAAGGAGTCTGTCTGAGGGTTCCCTACCAGTTGCCATACCTAACACTCCTGCTTAGGTGTTCCATTTAAACCCTCTGATCTAACCCTAGTATTAATTTTACCAGGTCACAGACCCAGATCTATTCACATTCGACCATAGAACTATAATCCTTAGACTATTTTTATCTTCGAGGTAAACTTATCAGAGCAAGCCATATTCCTTTTTTACTGCTAACCTGGTTTAACGCTATGGCTGAGGCCAACACTTGCAGTCAGGGTTATCCCTTAAACCGCTATTACCCTTGTAAAATTCATCCAAACCCTGGTACCCATCTTTCTGACTTCTTCTCCATCATCCCCTACTAGCTGCAACTCAAAACTAACTGACTTCCCAGACTCCCAATCCAGATGGCCTGGTATGGTATACTTATGTATCCTTTTCCTCTGACGATTTTAGCAGCCTGGTTGGTCATGTGCTCCTCTACACATCTTTGTTATCCAGTTTATCCGACAGTTCCTATGAAGGTGTTTCATAGGCTTCCATCAGTCCAATAGCACCATCAAAAGTTTGTGCTACCTTTTTACTCAGGATTTTCAAGTGAGTTTCTGTCTCTTCAGTTTTTTAGCCTTCTACGCCTAGTGGTTTTATCGTGGGTTTGCCCGAAGCTTTATACGACACTGGTTTTATATTTTTTTATGTACATGTACTATGTAACATTACACTTCGCATAGATGCCCTGAGCTCCCAATGTCAGGTGAAATCCTACTTGGTGTACCTAAGATTACAGATGCCCAAAACTTAACCAATCGACAAGAGACAGTTACCATAATACAGGTATAATTTCCAAAATTCATCATCCATAGGAATTGAATCTTAAATCTGCCACTTGAGGGTTGACAACCTATCCACTTTACTAGGTTGCTACATCCTACTGGATGGGTTTTAAAGAAGTTAGTAAAATAAAATTTAGATATATTTCCTAGATTATGTTTAGTTGGTTTGGATAGTAGATTATAATCTTTATTAGTACAAAGGTGAATGTGATGAAGTGCTACTTTGAAGGTTGCTTCAGAGTGCTCTTTAAGGATATATAATGAGGTTGATATAGAGTATAATATTGGCAGTAGTTTTTTGCATTCTTTTGTTAATTTTTGTGATATTAATATTTTAATATAATTACTTGTTTTCTGTTGATCGATTTTTTTAAATTGGATACTGTATTTTTCAAAAAAAGATTTGAATCAGGTTTCATAAGTTGTGAGATAGGGCTTAAGTGATGGGATTCTAAAGTCTTTTAGAAATTTTTCAGATGGAATGTTAAGAGTTGTATTAATATTAAATTGATTGTTATTTTGGATTGTGAATTCAAGTTGTTTGAAGCTATGTTTAATGTCAAAGTGGAGTATAAATCATAATGGTTTAATGTCAAGTTTTTTTATAAATTCTTTAAAATTGATGGTTTTATATTTATGATTTAGACAAAAATATAAGCAGGCTAGGTTTATGGCAACTCTACATCTGTTAGTATGTGAGTAGAGTAGAATAGAATAGTGTAATCAGAGGAAATGTAGATAGTTCAGTTATGTAAAGAAAACTTCTATAAACTTGAAAAATAAACCCTTTGAGAGTATCATAAAAAGCTTTAAAAGGGATTGGTTTTGATTTATTAAAGTTAGAGCTTAAGTTGATAATAAACTCTGACAAGAACTTAGGTTTTTTACTTATCATTTTGTTAAGAATATAGCTAAAGAAGAATTTGGCAGATGGTCTGTTATTATTTTTATCATTTTCAGATTTATTGGGAATAACTTGTTTAGGAATAAAGTCTCCAAAGTTGGATTTCAAAAGGTTAAATAGTTGTAGGACTAGTGGGGTGTTAAGTTTATTATGTTGTTGCATAGTTAGAGTAATAGAATAGTTTTTAAACTAGTTGAAGTCTTTGGAAGTGTTATATTTCCGAGTATTTACTTTTTGTTTAGGTTGTTTATTGTTATTCATATTCTGTTTGCTGTTATTTGAGGTTTCTTTTAAATTGAAGTTGTTGTCTAATTGATTGTAAGTTTTTTTAGTCTTTTTGAAAAACTTATCTAAAAATTTTTTAAAGAAAATATATTTGTCTTCTGCAGATAGTTGAAAACATTTGATTTTGCACTAAAGGCCATGTTGTTTTCAGTTTATAGAGCTTGTAAATTTGGCTAGCTTTAGTTTGAGTCTGTGAATACATTGAGAGTAGGCAGAAAAGCCACCAACTTTAGTTTTAAAAACAAGAGTTTTTGGATCTAATGAATATTTGTTGTCAGTTAACATAATACAAGATACATCTTTGGTTTTGCAAATGATGCATGTGTGTGCATGATGAAAGTAGGCTGTAAAAAATATTTGATTATCAGTATCTTGTCTGCTATTGCTGTAGCAGTTAGAGAATGGGTTAGCAATATTGTGTTTGAGTTGGAAAGATGACTTTGGTATATTATGAAAAGATTTGTAGAGTTTAGCATCTAGATCAATTTTCATTGAATTAGATGGCTCAGTTGCTATTATTAAAATAGTATCAGAGATAAGTGTTAAGCATAAATGCTGTAAAGTGAAGTATGTATGATATTTTTCATAAAGACATCTTAAGATGATAGGTTGAGTAGAACTGAAAAAGAAGTAGTAGTCATTGTTAATGTCATATTGTGTAGAGTTAAAGTTAGTTGGAAGAACTTTGAAGCTTTTATATTTTTTGTCTAAAGTAACTAAGATTCAGCTACTATATTTATTTTGGAGAATATCTAGATCAAAGA